TAACATAATAATTATCATAGTCACTTCACTTCTGCACATCAATGAAGACATCTTTCCACATACTGTCATAGCTGTTCCAGCGCAAGTGTACATTCCCATTTCATATACCAAGTAAAACAACATTGTGTTTAGAATTAGCGCTTTCTACCTTCTACATCCTCATAGTTCTGAACACCAAAAATATCAGTAGTTCAGATTGATTCATCAATAACCATCCGTAAACCTTATGCCAATTAACCTCCGAAAGCTCTTACCTTTACAACAAAGTATCACTCTCCAATGGGTCCCAGCCCATCAAGGACATAAGGGCAATGATGTTACAGGCTGCGCCTTACATCCAAGTACTTGTGCCTATCTTTGTACTAGTCGTCGATAGATCACCTCAAAAATGCGGATGATCACCGATCCGATGGATATTAACCTCCCTGGGGTTAGAGCTACATGGATATAGGTCCTACAGCCTAGATAGATACCATTTCCTAGATAATTAGAAAACAGACTGTATTACAGCCAGCTTACTTTGTTCTTATTGTATTGGTGATAGGCCATCACAAATGAAGAGGCAGACAAACTTGAAAAAACAGTATTAAGCCTAGAACTAGATGACAGCTATATCATGAGTCTAGGATGCATCTCGCAAGAAATAGAAATTTTAAAAATTAGTGAATGGCAAAATATGTTGGAAAATTATGATTCAAAAAGACAGCAACAAAGCACTAACCTGTCATACTCTGAGATATACACTTGGCAAACAAGAAGCCAGCCTAGGGTATCAAGAGGAGTCAGAGGGGAGGTCAGCTCATCATTTAATCAACTCAAGCTGGGACATAGGTGTTAAGATTATGAGCACATATGGGTTGAATCTCTACCTTGGAAAGATGCTATATGTGTTCATAGAACACCAACGTAGATATCGAAAAGACTTGTGTTAAGTGAAGTTCGCTTGTATTTGTTGTAATTAAGGGAGTAACATGACTGCATTACAATAAACTGTTCACATTAGAATAATGTGCACATGCGCCATGGGATATGATTGACCTAAATCATCACTCATTGGTATGACATAGTATTTCCCAATAGATTCCTAATGGTATCTATTGGCGCTACGATCTCTCACATCCTTCCTTTTTGGGTTAGACAAGGACAGATGTTGGAACATCCACTAATGCGCAGAACCCCCTTATTCATGTATATAGAAGAAGGTCCTGTCACGTAGATAAATAAAGCAATTCATACAATAGGAAATTCAAACAATCTCCATATTATTTACACACTTGAGAATACTATGGAATATCCTCAAGTTCGTCCATTGATCCAAGTCCTAAGAGTATAACTCACGAACTTTACTTCTCTTAAAGCCATAGCTACCTCCTTCCATACCTTCATCCTAACGGTACGTCATTCCAGCTCAGCATAGCCTTTCAATAGTATTCAGATGACTTTTTCTTACTCCTACTGCTAGGAGATACATCTCATGATATACATGTGCCGGATAGCCATATCACAGTTTCTACACTATCCAGTACATTCCATTCCATTCTATTTGATCCCATGCCATTCCATTACGAACGTATGATGCCCCAGTTAAGGGTTGCCCTCCAGTCCATGTCCTTGGAGTTGCATGAAATATTGGCATACATAAATCTGCACAGATCTGGGATCCCTTGGCAGATTATAACAATGGGTACTTAAATTCCTATATGAAAAGAATAGGGAGATCAATTACAGGAAAGTGCAGCTGTGGAGAGGAGCAAGATGCGAGGCATCTGCTACTTCTCAAGGATGAGGGTTTGACGGTGTTCCATGGGGTGCGTTGTATAGCCTAGTGAAGATCTAGGTGGTGAAGTAATATCATAAATGGGTCAGAGTGGTGACAGGTCTTCTCTAGGAAGAGATGAATGGGCAACTAGTTGTAGTAGCTGTTACACGTAGGTCTTGCTGATGAAGAACTGGGCAATGGATATATGGTCTTTCCGAAGAAGAGATGGGTAAACAAATATATTGTAAAGGGTAAGTAAAGAAGACGTTGCGGGAGGAGTAAATCTCTCTCACGCTGAACTATTATATACAAGAGTAGAAGCATTTGACAGCCGGAATTAATCGTAATCAGTTCTTGCCAATATCTTCGCATTAACGGCTGTGTTCTTGTCCTTCTCTTCATGACTCTCTTGTATCTCCTTACATGACTTCTTACCTGACTGATTGTATAGGGGAAGCTATTCTTAAATCGATGGTTTTAATTAGCTACCCCTACATCTTATCGCGAATCACTATCAGTATTAAATTCTAACTACGTATCCGTGAAACTACCAGATTGTAGGAAGTATTCACAGAATAGAGAGATGTTGAAAGGTAAGCTAGAGGGCCAGAGTATGAGCCTAGAATTAGTGCTTCACAACAAGATTGGAATCAAAATAATATTGGACTTTTAGAGGGAGACAAATATATCGACCAGGGGATGGTATATAGGGGAGAAAGAGAGTGGAAATTAGTGTAGGCGTCTATGGATTTTGGGGGACAAATATTTTAGAGTAGCTACATATCTTTCATAGTCATAGACTCAAATAGGATTCAAATCTAAAATAAATAAAACCCCATTTCCTAATAGTACATGACACATCCTCAAATAAGCGTGCGTCAAGTTCCGACAGCTGGAAGCTCTGGAAAGCTATATTTTCCATGCGGGACCTCAGCATCAATTCCATGTAGTAGGGGAAAAGAAGCTAGGTCCGGGAGCATGAAGCGATGTGTCGGTTCACAGGTATATGGCGCAGGTTTGAAGGTTTTGTCTTGGGCATATACTTCCATAAGAATAGGCCAATATATCACGAGATTTTGGTGGGTAGCTAGGCTTCGCTTTTTATCTTAGATACTAATGCTTGAGGGAGGATACAAATGAGGATAAATAGAAATGCACCACTTATTTTTTAGCACTATTGATGCATTAAACCAAGTGAAGCCCGTTGTACCAACACGATGATAAGCTTCCCTTCCAGCTAACACAGTCTACGTTTTCTCTGATGGATCCTCATTGGGTCCCACAAAATCGGCTTAGGGTGTGTAGGATACCGAGGAGGTAAGCTCGCTGGGAGTGGTTCTAGTCCAATTCCCGGAGCAGAGATATTCGACGCGGAAGTTGTAGGCACTATGAAAGCCTTGGAGGCTGTACTAACAGTGGGAGAAGACCTGTCGATTCGCATTATTCAGGATAGTCAAGCGACCACCCGGGCACTTGACTGAGGAAGATTTAATTCGTTATAGGCTGTGGTGGACAAGTCACTATCGCTGAGATACAACAAGCTTGTGTAAATACACAGGATACTTGATCATGTGGTGTTATAGCCTGAACAATTTATCCTGAGGCAGAGATACTAAACGAGCCATCCAACTACCCAATATTAGCAACAGAGATTAATTACAATACCATCTCCAAGACCGCCGCGCGGAAAATAGTAATTTTGTGCGTAATGATAAGTATCCTTGGATAAATAATTAAAAGAGGCTCTCGGAAATGATTGAGAGTTAAGGGTCTGGGAATCGCTCGCTTATTATTTCCCAGACTAATTATCTGAGGAGATTAACAATCTGATTCAGATGACCTCATGCGTTTGACAGTCCAAGGACGAGCCGGAGATTGCATTGCGGGATTCTTCTGATTGTAAGAAGCGGAAGAAATGGCTTGTCCAGATATTCAGCCTTGCAATTTGTATTATTCCCTATTTATCGATCACAGTCTTTTTAGGTATCTTGTTGCCACACTCATTATCAAATTCTACTTCCTCACAAGTTTTCCAATCTCCATTGTGAACCTCGCTCCTCACTTATCAACTTTGAAGACGATGAGCTCTTCCCTTCGGGAATCTCGCCGTAACACGTGGGGATCCAAGGCAATGAAGAGGCTGATAAGCTGGCCAAATCAGCCTTGGGAGCTCTCAATGTCGGATCACTAACCTAAGCTGCGCCCATTGTAGAAGATAAAAATGTAACCATTGCGGCATTAAGGAGGTGGGTTCAATAGCGCAGCCAAGGGCTTGCGGAATAGTGGTGGCAAATAGTATCGGCCGATTCGATATAAAGATCTGGACCTTTTCGTGCGCTATGAAATGACATCGAAACTGGCTCCACAAAGATGGGCGTATCATCGTCTTATTGCGGCAAGAACAGGTCATAGGACTACGCTGACTACCATCGACGATTCATCATCGAACTTGAAGATCTGAAATGCATCTGCGGCCGAGAGAAAAGGCCCAGGCGTTTTTCAGAGTGCCGACCTGCTTTGCAACGTTGGATAAGTTTTGAGAAGATGGCCCTACCTAAGGCCAGGGAAATGATACGGGAGAAGAAATGGTAGAAGTTCATCCAATTCATAACTACAAGTAGATATAACAGTCTGGCGAAGAATGAACAGGGTGGGAGGTGACCATGCTGAGATTGTTTCTAACTTGAGAGAAGATGTGTTTGGAAGTATGACAGAAACTGAGTTGGTAATGAATAAATCGATTTAATAAACTATATGAGGAGAAAAAACACCTCTAGCTACTACTAACTTGTGCTTAGGCACAATACTTCTTTCCCAGCCACGAATTTCCAGATGTCACTGAGTTATAATAACGTCCAGCCTCCTGGTTAGTGATGCTATTTCGTTCAACTCTGTCTCCACCCCATATAGTCTCATCGCTAGAATTCTCATTATTAGGCTTAGGTATCCGCATAAACTCAAATAATGGTCAAACCGTAACAGGAAGATATAGATGCGGCACAGTGCACCGTAACACAGAAATTCGTTGTACCTTATTTTCTTCATTTCTTTTGTGGCTTCTAGCTTCCTCACCGGTAGTGTAGGTAGCAATGAGCTCTCAGAGCCCATCTACCTGTGTCATGTCTGAATAGATGTTGGGTCTTTACTGTCACGTTCAAATTTCAAGTCCAAATTTAAATTCTACACATAGCAAAGCTTACTGTTAAGCCATGCTCGCGTAGGATTTGTTGATCTACGGTTCTTATACCCTCTTAGGTAGGCTGCCATAAGCACAACCTTTATCATTAAATGCAGCATCAGCTGCGGCCTTCCAAAGTGCTTTTACATCAGACACCATGTCTTCTGTGTAGAATAATCGACATTCAGATTCTTCTCGATCAAAATTGTACGGAAGTCCATTGTCTCGGTTTCTAGAAGAAATGGAGTGCCGTATATTACTGTAGGCAGCAAGGGATCGCTGCGAAGGAAGTAGTGACAGCTGATTCAAAATCTCTGCTTGAGCTTCGGTAGCACAATATGCTGCCGCTTGTGCGTATTGGAAGATATTTTTCCAACTATATATTAGGCCTCCTTTAATTCCACCAACTCCTCGAATTAGACCTTCCTTTGGACGGCCTCCCATAGCAATAGACTTTACGCCTCCTTGGTTCCGCATAAATCCACTAAAAAGGGCACAAGCTGATGAACAATATCCATCGTGAAGCTGTGACAAATTAGCAAACTAAAAAATAGCCAAGCTACTTATCATACCATTATAATATTGCTTGCATCAAAGTGCTGCGTGGAAATTTTACGGGAATCATAACCAGTAATATTAATACCAGCGCCGTAAATAGCATCAGAAGTGACGAAAGGGTCGTTGAGGTTCCATCGCAAGTTATTGGTGAAATTATCCCCCTTTATAGTGTAAGGACCAAACTTCTCCTCTAGACTCCTAAACGGCTGGTAGTCTATATTCAAATCAGAATGGTAATTAAACCAGGATCGACTCCATCTAATCTCGTTTTCTGTAGCATTAACTGGATCAAAATCATCAGAGTCTGCGGAAAATATCTCAGCCAATGCCATGAAAGTTTTTCCTACCCTCCAACGATAAACTTCATCCTCCTGAATAGTAGGAAAAAATTGTCGCAATAAATCAAGACTTAGGAGAGAACATCCACCTTCATTATCGCTTAGATCGATGATTAATTTTGTCTTGCCATCTCTCTTTACATTGATCATGAATTGCTGTGCAACCTCCTGAAATTCAGTTAAAGATTCAGGCCGAAAGCTCAAAACACTCAAAATAGCTACTTCTTCTTGTCCTTTCCCATCGATGTAGTACCCAGACAACGTTGAATCACTTGTTGTGATTACGGGAGTTGGATATTCAGAGGCTACTAGGGGACGAGCTGCTGGTTGGGTCACATCAATACTCTCTGTAGGATTATCGAAATTGATGGAACAAAATTTCGAGTAAAATTGTTGGCCATTAGCAACATCACTGAAGTTTCCAATGACTCTAGCAATGTTTTCTAACGTCAGTGATGATCCGTTAGTAAATGCGAAAGTTGTGTTAGGTCCCGGGTATATATATTGAAGACGTCCCCCTTCCGAGAAGAAGCCTTCCCTGCCGGACGCCGCATGGGATGCTTTGCTAAAGAACATGCTGTTGTAGGATGCATCGAGATCTAGATAATCTGGTGCATTCCTGCTGAAATTAAAGACATATGTATAAGCGTCTATGCCATTAATCTGAGCGACGATTGGTGCCGTCTCAGGTGTGGACAAAACATCGGCTATGTAAGGTCAGATTACGTTACCATCTAAGTGGCTCCAGTTAACCTACTATGAAGTTTGATAACGGGAAGTGATCGTCCGTCCTCGCTAATTGAAACAAGTGAACGCTGGCGAGCAAATATAAATGATTTTGATATGGCATCAGGATATAGGATTAAGTGCCCATCGCAAGCTTGTACAAAGACTTGATACAATCGGCCTGAAAGACGTATTCGTTTGCATACTTGTTTTCAGCCAAGTTTTTTCGAACTTGGTCTAGTGCAGCGATGACATCGTGAGCCGGGCAGCCATAATCTGCTGGGGGATCTTTTTTCCACGCCAGATCTCGAAGTTGATAAATAAGCCATTTTCCAACATTTTAATCGGTATTTACCCACCACTTTGCCATTCCATGTACGGTTCAATAGCGTCAACAAGCTCTACAGCAGCTGTCTTGTTAAGTGGCACCGAGTTTAAGCATTCATAGGCAAGCTGTGCGGAGATTGTCGGCCAAGCTGGATCTAGGTCAGAACACTTTGTATGATTTCCAAAAATGAGATTTTAGACAAACTAGAAGGAGCTGTAGCTACATGTGCAGCAGAAGAACTACTGACAAGAGCGCAAGGCTCAACAAACTTTTCCTCTGCAACCGTAGGTGACGACGTGATCTGGGCCTGCGTGACCAACGTTGGTGTGGTTTCTGTCGGCGCAACCTCACACGCGCAAGCACTAGCAACTCGTTCCTGGTCGAATTCATTACTGTCGTCCCGACATGCTATTTTTACTTGTTCTGGAACCATAACGGTCGAATCTTGACAATAGCTAGTGCAGAAATCTTGGATGGTGGTATGGCGTCTAGACATGTGTGTAGTAGAGCGAAGTGCGATTAGGCAGCTATCAGAAACATATTCAGCTGCAACTGAGACGCTTTGCAGTAGCAGAATAACCCATGAGTAATTCATCATCTTCAAAAATACTCAGCTGAGTTGAATCATCTGCAGCAAAATTCACAAAATGAGACACGGCAATTTATTCTGCACAGAATCTTGGGTAATTCTATGCTGTATTTCTGTGCACACGTCTTCCAAAGTTCAATAGGGATGGCATACATATATAAATCTACAGCGCAAGGGCAACTACTGCTAAGCATGAAAGTGGTAAAATACATTTGCTAACACAAGCATTGAAAAGGATTTCATTTTAATTTAGCGGTATTATTCTGGGTAAGCTGAGAGAGAGTGCAAAAGATGTTTGTTGGTTCTAATTAGCTTTATAATTGCAGTGTAAATCTCTACCCAACACCTTTGCAAATTCCGACAGGCTTACTGAGTCAATGTAGAATAAATACCCCATTTACTGCGGCCACAGGAGAAAATGGAAGATGAATGGGCGTATCGTAAGATTAAATCAACTATTTTTTCCCGTATAGTGCTGAACTTTGGTGGGTTGCTCGCCGAGGAAGGATGTCAGCTAATTTATCAAGACTGCCGAAATTTGCAATCTATGGGTAACTTCGCGCTCTCAAACTAGGTTCGGTGATTTGTTTGGTATTCTATTCCGGCCGCTGGACGGATCGAGCAATCGTCAAAACCAATGGCATACAAATTCGCAAGTAAGATGTTTATCGTATTACATGTGTCGTAGACAATCTAGTACATTGGGCTCCTCTCTGTCCCAGGCCACACCTTGTACAGTGCTCCTGCCTCTCATGTTTCTTGAAGGATCATGTAATTATTCCCATGATAGATAGCCATTCAGCTGGTTACTTACCTGTAGAATTCAGCCACCTTTTCCACGAAACCTTCTTCCCACACAAAACAGAATGGTAGCAATGGAACAATGCGTGCGCAGAAAAAGGTCTCCAAGACCTGCCATGTTGTAGCCTGAATATTCTGGCCTGAGGCAGTTACCCAACGGGCTATCCTGCCAGCCTATATTAACTAAAGTGATACGCCTTCTCTTTTTAAATTTTCATAACATCAGTCTAATTGAAGGGGGAGTTTATAAATTCTGGGGAAAGTCTCTAAAATTGTGGTTGAAAGGAACGTTCTCAGCATCAAGCCGGGTCGATTTAGAGGGGCAGAACGTCGGGTATTGTTTGATGAAAGCTTTTTCCCTTACCAAGGCAGCTTACCGTCTTCATGGCTCTGTATATAGAAGCCCAATAGGACGTTAAACTTGAGAAATCTGATTGAACTAAAGAGATAAAATTACAAAGTCATCTCCAAGACCGACTTTAGGATATAGCAATCCTGTGCTTCATGAAATTATCTTGCATAAATTAGTAACATAGGCTTTCGGGGATGATTAATATTTAGGATACAGGATGAATTCACATAGTATTTCCTAGATTAAATATCTGAGGAGAGTGGCAATTCAACTCAGCTACCCTCATGCGATGGATGGTTCAAGGACGAGACGGAGGTTGTATTAATGAACTGTTTTGATTATAAGAAGCGGAAGAAATGGCTACCCTGATCTACAGCCTAGCAATTTGTAATTTTCTCTTCTTTTGATCATAATTAAGTTTTTTATCTTGCTGACAAAAATATTTCTTCTTAATCTTTGAATTATTAAGCCTAAACCTCCATTGTGAACCTCGATAATCACCTCGTACACTTCGAATACGGCGGATCCTACTCCTTTTGCATCGCGCCGTAACATGCAGCCCCAGCCAGGCGAGAACTAGACACCGGGACCACATGAGGTGCGCATATTCATCTATATCTCCTTCTTTGTAAGATTCGAGGTCTACATGATCCAGTCAGCCATGACCGTATCGGGTGCTGGCTACGCTCCGGAAAATCTTCGCATGGCTTCTGCTGCTTGATCAAGGGTTGGTGAAGAGGACTTCAACCCTGCCATCAGATCTGATCGTGGTCAGCCTCATATTAATTGTGATATGGGGGTATAATGAGAGGTGAAGACGATACAGACCGTGAAAGCGATTGGGAATCCTCATCGAAGTGAGGACGGTGTTACTCAATCTCGTCTCTGCAGACTCTACAGTGATAGGTGAAGGTCCGTAGGGGACACCACTGACAGGTGTCGTGAATAACTACATTGATAAATTAATCATAAATTCTTTACAAGATACCACAAAGCTGTGGTGGTCCGGACCCTTACAATAGTTACTCCGAAAGGACAAAGTAGAGTTTAAAATTAAAGACGGATTAGTGTACTTTCGAAACCAACTTTTTGTACCAGACTATGAAAATATTCGTCTTGAAATTGTGCACGGCTCCCATTCTTCTGGCCCGCAGGTCATTTAGGTTGAGTGAAAACACTGCATCTATGACAAAGGACTTATTGATGGCCACAAATGACCCAATTTTTGGCTGATTTTGTGAGAGGATGCGCTCTCTGCTTCAGGACTAAGACTCCTCGTTCACTGCCTCCCAAATTTCTTAAGCCTCTTGAAATTCCACTCCATGAATGGTCTGACATTTCAATCGATGAAGTTGTTGACTTACTTTCACGGAGAAACGTAGTGGGAGCTAGGATGGTGTCTCATGGGGAGTTCCACGCCAAAACACAACTCGGGGTTGGGTTGAGTTCCTAAACAATTAGGACAGACTCAGGAGCATATAGTCGTTACTGCTACGGGAACACTCCCTTGTGTGTGTACTGTCTGTGCTAGTACGGTAGGGACAGAATCTGGAGTCTAGTCAGCTGTAGTGTAGGGGATTCTATATTTGTCGTGATACCATGTACTTAATGTTAGATAGCACCACAATAAAACTTCATGCTCTTCCGCGGAGAGATTTCACGCATTCAATAGCTGGTTGCGTATCATAAATTTCTTTGGAAAAGCACAACAAGTCTGACCGAAAGGGAATCATGTGATTCAACTAAGTTCCCCCTTCCATATTGTTTATTTAACCTATTCTTCATTCAATACAGCGTCTTTTGTCTCAGTAGGGACTTAATAGGGTTACTCGCTTGACGCGTGATCCGCCAGACGTTAAATAAAGATAAATAAATAGATATTCATTCAATACAATCTGAAAAAATGAGAGTTAGGGGATTATTCTCAACACCTGTCAGCGGTGTCCCCTACGAACCTCCAGCTCTCACTGTAGAGTCTGCAGAGCCGAGATTGAGTAACAAAGTCCTCACTTCGAAGAGGATCGCCAATCGCTTTCGCGGTCTGTATCGTCTTTATCTCTCAACACATCCCCCTATCCCCCTATCACCATTATCATGAAGCTAACCACCATCAGATCAGATGGTAGGGTCGGAGCCCTACTCATCACCAACCATTGATCATGGAGGAAAAGCCATCCGATGAGTTTCCGGGGCGTACCCAGCACCCGATACGGAGATGGCAGATTGGATCAAGTCGACCTCGACTGTTAATAAGAAGGGGATATAGATGAATATGCGCACCTCATGTGGCCCCGGTGTCTAGTCCTCGCCTGGCTGGGGCTGCAGGTTTTTTGAGACTTTTTCCCGCGCACGCAGTTTCCATTGCTACCATTTTTATTTTTTTTGGGTAGAAGGTTCCGTGGAAAAGGTGGCCGAATTCCACGGGTAAACACTGAGCTGAATGGCTATTCATCAAGGGGAATATATCAAAGATCTTTCAAGTAACAATAGAGAATAGGAGCACTGTACAAGGTGTGGCCTGGGTCAGAGAGGAGCCCAATGTGCTAGATAGTCATAGACTCAAGTAGTACAATAAACACATACACACATGAGAGTTGAAGGGAGACCGGTAACCATGTACAATTTAATCTTCAAGTGCAGGATGATAAGATCCTGGCTTTCATTTGCTTTGTTGGGTTTGTTAAGGCGCCAACACTTCGGGTAGTTTTAACTAGACTGATGTGGATCCAGAAGATTCGGATCATAGTACCCCCATGTAAGATTCGGAATAACCATTGCAC